CTGCTCGCTTGTCCTACACGTAATCCGAAGTGAATAAATAATGAAAAAGACTGGGCGTCGGTGAGTCGCTAGCCTCCCATTTAGTAGATGTAACATCAACAATATCCTTCCTTTCCCTGTAACGGAGAAGATAGGCGTGGCCGGCAATGGTAATTGTCATGCTTTTCCTATTATGAACTTTGATTGGAGACCTATTCACTTCCAAATAGTTTTCCTTAAGCAATCAGAAAAAAAAATGTTAAAGTAGATACATGTATGCAATCTACGAAATACTCCGTTACAAACGCAACGCAACGCAACGCAACATGAAAATGAAATATTTAAGTATTCTGCTGATTTTCCATTGATTCAAAATAGGATTCTGAACCAAAACGTCAACATGGAAGACGGTGTCATGTTTAATTCAACCTAAATTTTAAGGGATTTGACAAGCGTAGAACACCCCTGGGTCAAACAAAAAAGACTTCTATACACGGCGAATGAGAACGACCCAAATTTGAGTTTAGTTCACTCATAATCGCCAAAAATGCAGGAACTCAGCAATGAGTAAATTTGTCTCGTGGTTTCCTGAGGAAAACCTAAAAAATCTGCTGGAAAATAAGGAAATTGACGAAAGTTTTATTCAGTCTCGGAGTAGTACCAATAGACTGAGTGAATCCAAGCTTTACTTTTTTTTCAAATTCGGGAATTTTTCCCTGGAAAATCCTGGAAAATCCTGGAAAATCCTGGGAAAATATGAGGCAAATTTACTCATCGCTGAGTTCCTGCACTTTATGTTATTTATGAGTTGACTAAACTCAAATTTGGGTCGTTCTCATTCGCCGTGTAGATCGCTGGCAAAAATCAGGGGACTAATACCAACAATCAATATGAAACTAACGATTTTAAATTGGCTCACCACTTTAGTAGCCTATTGGTCCCAAGCAAACGATTAACGTACCCTATTCTAGTTGAAATTCTATTACTACACTATGTTTGTTTTGATTCGCTATGAAAGTTTGACAGATAACATAAGGGGTGTGTGGATTCATGCAGAACATGCAGGGGTGAGTGAAATAGCTTGGGACTGCTTGGGACCGTTGTTCTGGTACTGAGTGAGCCAAAAATAATAATGATTTTCTTCGGGACCCAGTGGTCTTAGAGTTACCTCTATGCTAATACCATAGAGATAACTCTAAGACCAGAAGGTCCCGAAGAAACGTGCTCAACTTTTTGGATCAGCTCTGGTACTGTCTTCGGTCCCAAGCTAATCGATGCACCCCTCGAAACTTAGTAAAATCCATGAACCCCTCATTTTATCTGTCAAACTTTCATAGCGAATCAAAACAAACATTGTGTAGTACTAGAATTTTGACTTAAATGGGGCACGTTAATCAATTTTCTTGGGACCAACAGGCTAGTCAAGTAATGAGCCAATTTAAAATCGTTAGTTTCGTATTGATTGTTGCTAATACTAAAGCGAGACCCACAAAGCTGCGTCACCGTCAGCGTTGACGAAGGGGTTCATCCGTGAAATGACAGGTGTAACGCACGTCAAGTTGCTTTTCCACCGACATCTTTGCCTGATGACTGCGTCAGTCCGTTAATTTTGATCAGATTCAAATTTGACGCGGACCTTTTAGTCCACCATGCATGCTAGATGTCAAGACCAACAATTGAAAAGGCCTTAACTCTATTTTGTAAACAAACCTTGTAAGGCCATTTTCTCGCGAACCGAAGTCCGCAAAGGCAAACCAACATAATGACCAGGTAGGGGAAATTATCCTCTACCCGATTGTGGTTTAGGTTTGCGAATGAAGGTTTCGGTTCGCGAGAAAATGGTCTTACAAGGTTTGTTTACAAAATGGAGTTAAGGCCATTTCAATTGTTGGTCTTGATGTTGTAGTTTTGCCAGCTTCCTCTATGCGGTAGCCTCTTTTGATTTTGGCCACCACACTAACGAAGCATACGCTACTTTTGGACGGATTACTGATGTGTAAATCCGCATTGTCATTGTTGGTTTCCAACCCCATTTTCTACCAACAGTTTTGGAGCACAACCACAGGGCACAGGTTGCAAATTTCGCTTAACATAACATCTATTTATAGCTGTCATGACGTGAAAAAACCTCTACAGAATTCTTTTAAACATAGCACTACGAACGCCCAAAATATTTTCACCAAACATGCACGCAAATATAGCCACAAATGATCGAGCATTGGAATGCTCACTTTTTAAAATTGGCTGGAGAAGTTTTGGTTCCATAGCACTGGACATATTTGAGGGGATCTGATGTGGCCCTGGTACTCAATACATCCCGCAGGTAATGATCCTTGGCCAAGTCGTAAAGCTTGATTTGCTAGACTTGCCGCTTGCGGAATAGCTGCAGTTCCTGCATTTATCACACTGTACGGTAGAGTTGATTAATTCTACACTGCTCAAACTATGAAATGAGAACGGGAACTTAAATTGTATCATTGGACATAAACATTTCTACTTTCGTAATCTCATGGATCAAAATGGATCCTCGCCTAATGTGCCGTGCCAGGACAAAATTAGACCTAGCAGGTTCTTCTTCGAGCATAATGATAGGCATTTGCCATTATCCGAGGCGGGTGACATTTGGTCAAGTCAAGAGTTGGCGTAACATCTGGATTCGCATTCTCTTACACGGCTACGACGCCGGGAGGCAACATTTACCATATCGCAAATAGAACCGCACAGCAGGTTAATAGCTGATTCACCTACGGGTGCGAACGTCAACTATGAGCATTAGTCTTTCATGTTTGGTGAACCGAATCCGCGCGCTCATGGGGTGGGAGGGGATGGGGACGGGGAAAATCCCCTGCAAAAAACGCAACAATCTTCACGACAGACAGCTCCTCTGTTGGTCAGTTGACGTGCTCCTTCTGAGGACTGCCTACGTACGTATCTCACCTGCAATTCACGCCTAATGAGATCAAAACACCTCGCACTATAGTTTTGACTTTTAATGAGAAGCTTCTATTTGAAATTTCCAACTAATTTGAATGCCACCGAACCGTAACAATCAGTGCCGTTGTGTGACATGTGGTGGTCTCCTTATACACATACCATTTTGTGATTGCGTAAGGTGCATTCTCTCCAAAAGATCCTCCTCTGATTCTGGTTTCTTGCGGCTGAATGGCTCGCTGCAACGAGAAAATCCGGGGAAAAATTTCCGCATGCAGCCGTGCTCTCGCTGGCTGGCAGATGATGGCGTGACGTTCGAAGTGATCCAATCTTGACGACGACGAGATGCACCGTGGCAACCACACATTTACGCACCCTACACCCGAGACGTAAGCAGTAATAAATTGTCATAAATAAATTAAATTTAATTTTATTAAATGCATCATCATTCACGTACGCTAGTTTGACACCACTTTTCTATCCACACCTTCGGAGGGGCAGAAAAAGAAGCGAATTTATGCGTAAGCGCTCTGGTGGCATGCATGTGGTGCAGTCTGGCCGTTCGTGGTAGACTTCTTGGAGTACTTGCAGTCTGATTTGTGAGAATCGCTGCGGTTTTGATTCAGAATCGACTGCGCGACTCAACAACAGCTATCGAGCAGAGAGACAGAGAGACGAACTGTCTGTGCTGATGCGGCTCGTAGACTGCAAAATAAGCAGACTAAATATCTGGTGGATGACGAAGATCGGTCCACAGAGGGGTCAGTAGGGTTTGATGTGGGCTAAGCAATATCATTTGACCCTCGTATGGCTTATTGAAAAAAAAAACCTAAAAATTTAGACCAAAGCGTCGAAGGACAATGAAAATGCCGAATGGTGAAGAAATCGACCGATTCAGTGTAAATCTTTATTTTGATAATATTCCTAAAACCCACAAATGCCCTTAAATCGTCAAAAATACTTTCTACGAAAAATCACAAAAATGTCAACCATGGGAAAAACCATAAAAGCTTTAAAACCGGTGCAACTGCACTGCCACATAATGTTTCTAAATGGTTCTAAAAGCTCTTCGTAAAGGGTTCCGTTAAAATGTTTTGAAATGTTCAGCCACTTTTGAACACTTCGTAATCTTAGCTATTTTTTACACATAGAAAACATTCAGCTTCAGATTTTACCTCAATTTTGGTTATAGGGTGTGGCACCATTTCAGCATACCTCACTTCATTTCGGCACACCTTCCTCAAATTAGTCTTCCGACAGTACCTAATGTTTTCACAGCATTCGTAATTTCACTCGTGAGCAAATAATTTGTTACGTGTTGTAGCAGTGTGTCATCATTGTTTTTGGCGCGTATGACGGAAATGGGTCCCATATGCCGAAGTAGTGCTGCTCTCTATCAACATATTTAGAAAATCAAATAAATTTTCCACTTAATCTTACAATTTCACTTTCAATATTCAATTTCACTATTGACTTTCTCTATCACTTTAAAAAACCGTTAACAGACACGTATTTCATTTACTACAAGCATACTTCTTTAGTGTCTAGTCATAGACTAACGGTTGTTCTATAAAAAATAAAAAAAATTCAGTCATATAGCTAGCAAAAAAAAATTTTTTCAATGAATTCAGTGTTTTTTATTAAAAACATAATGTTTATTCTTCAAAAAAACGTCAATGAATATTGGAGAAGAAGCCCTGGTCATCCGTGCGACGCCACTTAGACGCGAGGATCTCACAAGAGCGCTGGACGGCACTGACGTCCATCTTTCGGATACAATTCCGGATCCTCGTGGTCAACTGCTTCGTATACTTGGCCCGCCAATTGTTTTTGTACACTAGGGCACTGAGGGAGCCGAAAAAATCCTCAATGGGACGGCACTGGGGCAAGTTGGTCGGGTTCCTTTCTTTCGGCACGTACGGTATCTTTTTCTGCTCAAGATACTCCAGCGTTTTCACAGGCACTGCGATTTCACGGCCACTATCGCCTTGTCCGTGTACTCGGGGGACCGAGTCTTCTTCCGACAGATGATGCCCTCCATCTTGAGGGTTCGGTGAATCAAGGTATGGGAGCAGTGATATTTTCGGCCGGCATCACGCAAACTCGTTCCGTCCTTGTTGTCGAACAGCTTTTTCAACGCTTCCTTCTTCTTCCTCTTCGTCATTATCTTCGCCGGACGGCCGCTACCGGCCTTCCGCTCCGTGCTCAGGGATGCCAGGATCCGGTAAACTATACTCACGGGTACGTTTTCGTCTCGAAAGTGGTCTACCGTAAATTTTTTTCCACGATGACCATGCGTTTCGTAAAACCGTACAACACGCTCGCGGAGTGCTTGATGTTTCGACGCCATCTTCGATTGAACTGACAGCACCTGAGCGAAAAGAAGCATGCCACCCATTTTTAGGGAGTCCAGAGAGCAATTCTCTTGGAGAGAAAAAAAATTACGCTATTTACTTTAATTACAGAAAGGTATTGAAATCATTCTCATTTTTTATTAAACACCCGTTAGTAGTAGAATTAAAAGGAACAATAGTTGTAGGAGAATTAATAGGAAAAACAACGTTTATAATTATTCTACTAAGCCGCTCAACAATCAATTTAGAAAATATTATACTTTTCGTTCGTTCATATTTTTTTGCTTTGAAAAAACTATTAATAGGGGAATGGAACCTATTCTCAGCCTATGCTCCTATTTTTGGCCTGAAGCTGAAACTCAGGTTTGAAGCAACATTTTCAGCAACTAATTTTCATTTACTAATGATATTATGTGATTTTTTATACTCCATTCCAGCAGATAAATCAGGCAGAAGTTAGTTTAAAACAGAATTTTAGTGTACATAGGCTAAGAATAGGATCACCAACCCTAGTCTTAAAAAACATTTTTGGACCAAAATTTTACAAAAAAAAAAATGGTTAAACATCATGTTTAAAAATTTGATTTATGTGTTTTGATCTATGATTTTTCATACATTTAAGTGTCCATCTTGAAATTTTTGCTAACAATTGCTAACGATTTTTAATGAAAAATATTCAAAACAAATTAAAGAAAGTAAGAGGTTTTAAGATTTAAACACTATTTTAGACGTTCAACTGAAAATTATTTGTAATTTGTTACCGTGTATATTTTTCCTGAAATGCAATTATTGTTTTCTACAAAATTGTCTCAGACGTCATGTGGGATTCGAAGTGACGTTTTCGTGCTATGATTTGTTGAAAAATATCGATTATGCCGTTTTGATGTATGTTTGCAAGATTCAAAATGAATTAATTTTAGCTCAAATGTGAACGATTGACCATAACAATAAATTATGCAAAGTTTCATGCAAACCGGAGAAGGTCGCATGAGATCGGTTCGTCATTTTGCGTGGAATTGCTCTATAATAACTAGCAGCGCAGGCCGATTTTCATACAAAATTCATCTCATCACATCTCACCTGACCTTAACTCTTCTTAACACTGCTTACTTCACCTCACCTCAACTCACCTCACCACATATCACCTCTACTCAATACATCCCACCTCACCTCATCTCACTTAAACTCACCCAAATTCACCTCACCTCACCTCACCTCACCTCACCTCACCTCACCTCACCTCACCTCACCTCACCTCACCTCACCTCACCTCACCTCACCTAAACTCACCTCACCTCACCTCATCTCACCTCACATCACCTCACCTCACCTTACCTCACCTCACCTCACCTCACCTCACTTCACCTCACCTCACCTCACCACACCTCATGCCACCTCACGCCAACTAACATCATCTTACCTCATCTCACCTCACCTCACCTCATCTTACCTCGTCTCACATCATCTTATCTCATCTCACCTCACCTCATCTTACCTCGTCTCACTTCTCCACGACTCACATCGCCCCTACTCACTTCTCCACAATTCACTTCTCCAATCCTCAGCCGAATTCACCTCACCTCAATTGACCTCACCTCACTTTACGTCACCTCATCTCACCTCACATAATGTTATCTCATCTCACCGCATCTTACCTTATTTCACTTCATATAACCTCATATCATATCATATCACCTCTTAGATCTCCACATCTCACCACAGTTCACCTCACCACAGTTCACCTGACATCATATTCTAACGTCACATCATCTTAAAACCTTAGTAACTTCATCTCACTTTAATCTCCTCTCTCCTCATCTCAACTCATCTCATCTCATCTCACTTCAGCATGAATTTGAAGATTGAGCTTGAAAATGAGATCCACAAACATTTAAAAACTCGGACTTAAATTTTGTGTGAAGATTGCATTGCAAAACGTTGCACAAGGGGTGCTCATCTCTGCACACCTTAATTCGTGCCGAGTGATTGAGCGTGCCGAGAGTTGTGCCTATCAAGGTCAACCAAGGTGTGCCTTTCAAAGTGGCAATATTCAATGAGTTTGGCAACCCTGAAAGCTATGACTTTTGTGGATGTGATAACATTCTCAATTTCTCTAATCATGGCAAACATTCACTTTCATTCTCATTAGAGCGTTAGCAGGTCTGGACGTGGAAGCGGAACTGGAATTGATGGCTATATTGGCTATACGTTCAAACACATTTAACCCTTCCACAAGATTCTGGCTCGATGTCTCTTTGAACTGTTGATTTCTTGGAGGTGTACAGAAAAAATGGAGAACTCCGATCGATGAATTTCTGCCTATTAAATTCTCCCCCAGAACCTGAACGGGCGAGAGTTCAATCCCACTAGGAACAACATCGTCGAATCAGTTATAAATCATCTGATCGACTCAGAAGTGAGTGTCCTCGAAGATATCACCGCAGACTTCAGTGGAAGCGCCTGTAGGTCTGTATAGAACCAGAGAACCCAACAAACAATTTGAACTGATTAAAATCTGAATAAGCTATAAAATTGCTGAAGAAGCTAAATTTTGCATGAATAAGCTCTTATTCAGCTTTCAATGTTTGTTGGGAAGCTTCCGCTCAATCCATTCAGCTCCACACAGATGATAAATGTGGGCGATTCGTAATTCAATAGCTTATATATTTGGGATTAAAACGTATTGACATCCCCCAGCTCATTGATGTCCATACTAAATGAAACTAATGACTGGGAATAATTTCCGAGGAAAAACGAAGGGCCATCCCAGAAGATCCTCGGCAAACCCGGAATTCGAATCTGGCCGCCTCCCCTATGATAAGCTTTTGTTCTTCAGAGTTGGTTGGAAATGCTAACATGAAGCTTTAGTGTGATGATTTATTAGCTAGAGAATGATCTTTAGAAGAGGGTAGGTGGATAGTTCCGTTAGAGTACGGCAGTATGAAAATTGAATAGAAGTTGAAAATGAGCGAAGGGCCATTAATGCGACAGTTTTTAAAGATTGTTCTTCTTTATTGTTCATTGTCCATTAAAAAAAAGTTGAGGGCTATATCCAAAGCAAATTGTGGAGGTAGAACTACGAGATTATTTTGCTGTTCCATTTAATAATATAGTTTAGAAACTTAATTGAAATTTCGAAACCCTTGATATTTTTCACGGATGTCCCTTGGAACTTTCATAAAAATTCACTTGAAATTATCCTTCTAATTCCCTCTGAATTCAATATTCTCTGATTTTTTTTGAAGTTCTCATAAGAACTCTCTTTACATTCTTCTCGGAATTTATTTAGAATATTCATTAGAAATTAACTTGTAATCCTCTTTACACATCCTCAAGACAGGCAATCCAGAACGCTGGTATTGCCTTCGAATGGAGTTACGGAGTCAAATGAGATTTTTGGTAATCCTATCAAAGTTCAGAGTATTGCTCACCTGTCTGGATACTAGCACGTGTTGTTCACTGGCCCGGGATATCGCCTCCTCGATGGAACGCAGACACCGGTCAACCGTTTCGGGCGTCTCTGGAAGGACATCGAAGTCGACGGTGGAGTCGACACAGTGTTGGAGCTGATTCCAGCTGACGCGATGGTAGTTGCGTCGGGAAGCTTGGAAACAGTTGACGGATAAGCCCAACGAGCTCAGCTCCTGGTGGTTCTCAGGTTGCGAGATGTTGTCTGCCATGTTACCGACGAAGATGTTGATGGTGGAGTGTACACCAGACCGGCTCAAGCGGGTGGGAGAATCCGCCGCTATTATGGTGTAGTGAGTCTCTTGTCGTTCAGAATTGTGCCGTTTTGGTTGCGTCGACTGTTGCCCCAAGCCTGGTGTTGGGCGTACGGGTCGCCAGCGATGATGTTCTTCTCACGGCGTCCAGTTAATCTGATGATGTCTTTCCGTAGGTCTGCTGCCGAACCGTCTCTGATGGTGACTTGTTTGGGACAGTACGCCGTAATGATGGTAATAGGGCCGCCAGGAGTGGAGACTTCCACACCCACCGCTTCGATCATCTTCAGCTGGAAACTCGGTAGCAGTCGGCAGCCAATATTTCTTCTAAATGCGATAGCCACTCCTCCTCCGCAGGAGCTGGTCCAGTCTAGCCTTACGAGTCGAAAATCGGGGAGGTGAACATTTCTTTCCGGCTTCAGGTGTGTTTCGGTGATGACGGCGATGTCAATGCTATGTCCATTGAAGAAATCAACGAACTCAATGATTTTGCTCTTGAACGAGCAAGCGTTCCTGTTGACTATTTTGATGGCTCCACGGTCCATACTTTTGCACGAGGAACATAACTGCACGAAGCTGTTCAGGTAGTGTCTTGGTGGTGCGCAAGATTATGATCACCTCAGTCACGAGGATCACTAGTTCGTCACTTGTGAGTGAGTTGAAGCTAGACAACAGTGCTCTTTTATTTCTTTTCAGGTTAAAGCAGAATGATGTGCAACCAAGTGGTAGTCGATTATGACGACTGGGTTTCATGAAAACAGTGACAAAGTTACATTAGACAATGCTTGACATTACCACTTTTCCAATAGTTTCTTGTTGTAAATAATCAATCGGAAGCATTGCATATTGATGCGTAGAAATATTTCCGATCGATTGGTGATAAAATTATTGAAATAGGTTCAGGGGCAGCTGAGTTATTAAAGTTCAAAATCTTTCATAATTTTGTTACATGTTCCATTTTCGGTTTTCACAAAGTGTACCCCCATATAGAAATCATAGACGTAGTCCTACGTCAAAAACGCAAATATCCACGCTATGGGCAACGCCCGTCACTACCTTGCACTTCATTCACACGAAAGCTTTTAGGCTACCATGTCTCACCACTACAACCTATGGGGAATGTGAAACCTTGCTATTGAATAACCCCTCGGTATGAGGCTCGGGCTAACAGAAAATAACGCCAACTGTCTGGCATCACGTCTGCTCGGACCGCAATCGGTTTCCCGATCGATTCGGGTCTCGATTGTGCAGTGAAGTCAAGCATTTCCTCTTTCACTAGTCGACCATCGAACGGGTAAGTCCTGCTTGGGAGATTTTGGACGATTCTCTTCTTGCACCAATATCTAGTTCCAACACAACCCCTATAGACTGTTACCTAGCAACTTACAACATGTATGTTGACATAACATTTGAA